TAATAACCTACTTTAATCGGAAATTGGAATGTGGTTTTCCAGGACGTCAAGAAAAAACTAAACGGTTTAGGGTCAATCTGTTCTAATAAAAGAATATAGTTCAGATCCTCGTGCGCACAGAGTAGAACGCCTTGAAACCTGGCAGAAATTCAAATAATTGATGTTTCATTTTGAAGAATTGTAATTGATATCGGAACACAGCAGGATCTGACAGAACTAACTCAAGTACTGAACAAGCACCTCGGCATATGAGCTTTTCGGTTGACAAAATGACTAAATCCAATTTTAACTTTCTTCGTTACTAATTTTAGTGATGTTTCTGGTGGCTAAATTTTTACCTTTATTCATAGATCTATATTTCAACACTGCAATAACCTCCTCCGGGATCAACATATTCATATATATCTGCATAGATAAATTTTCCAAGTAGAAATATCATTAAAATGACTTACTCAAATATATTGAAATTGGAGTTAGTCATTCTGTTAACTGAAAGTTATGGACCACACGAGCTCACTTAAAAGTCAGGCATCTCAAATTATCTTTTTGAGTGTTCATATATATTGAGTGTTATATTTTATTTTGTATTAATTCATTTTTTTTCTAAGGGGACTTAGTCCCAGAATAAAGTTCTATTTTCTATTCTATTCTATCTACAGTTCTTTACGTGCCTCACTATAGTGTTGACCAAAATTGGTCTTGGTCTTTGACCAAAACCAAGGACGCCTAACTGTTACAAGAAAAAGACCAGAAATGGTAAAAAAAAAAATCGACTTTTTAAATACAAATTTTGACAAAATAGTTACTAATATTTGACAATCTTAGTTACTATATGTTAATAATTGGTATAACCAATATACTTTTGCATTTAACTCATCTAATTTTTCATTAGGGTTTAGTTGGGTTTCTTATATCTATAAAATTACAGTAATATCTCTATAGCAACAAGCTGATAAGTAACTGCAAGACTGTTTCGAGACTCTTGTGCAAGACCAAGACCATGACCAAAACAGAGTTTGCAAGACCAAGACTCGTCTCGGTCTCGCATTTGGGCAACACTACCTCCCTAGCACTAAGTTTCGTTCAATTTAAACCGAACTTATATTGTAACTTATATTATAAATAATTGTTTGTTTGTTTGTTTCGATGTCTAGACGCAAAACATCCAGGTCATAAGCGCCCGATCAACTAAATAACATCACTTAATACTATTTGGATGGTTGGTAAAAAAAAAAAAAAATAATAATAATAATAAAAAAAAAAATAAAATAAAGAAAGAAATGGATTGATAGAATAAAATAAATAAATAAGGATAATAACAGACATTTCTATATGATAAGATGTATAAAAATGTATAAATAAATAAACTTTAAAAAATAGCAGTAGAATCAATAAATGAATTGTGATTAATAAACAAATGAATTTATAATGAAATCAAATCAAATGAAAAAAAAAATAATAATCATAAGAGAAAATAGATAAAAAAATTAATAAATAAAAAAAAAATAGTAAGTCTGCAAAGGATCATTAATTATAAGCCTGTCAAATGTGTTTTTTAAGTCTTTCACTATCCAGGAACTTGAAGACTTTGGTAACGATTTCTTCTTGGTTTCCCAGGGATGCTGATATATTCTGGGGTATTCCAAATTATAAATAATTAAATCAATTTTTATCTATCATAGATAGATGTTTATGGAGGTGTGATAATGTCTTTAAAATGAATGCATATAAATTAACTTTGCTTGAACATGTAAAACGCTCTTCACACTTCTCTACATTTGTTTTCCTTTTTTGTTTTTTTTATATTCCGATTTTTATGTTTTATTTACATCATTTGAATAAAATACAGGTGACATTCGACTTCTCTTTGTTGGTGATTCTTCAGTTAACTTTTTATTTATATATCAACAAGATAATAGTATGACGTAATCGAGTCATCAAAAATTAGTTATGACATTTTTTTTAGTAAATTACCAATTTTCTTTCCAAATTTAAGAACAAATGGAGGGCCATCAACCAGATAGAGGATAGGTTCCTATAAAATTGTTCGATCTGACCACATGTCACTGAAAAGCTGAACAGTTTTGAAAATTGTCTTGTTGATATAATGAAAAACGTTCAGCTCAGTCGTTTTCACAATGTACTGAGGGAAGAAGAGTGGAAAGTTAAGTCCCCTTAAATGTTAGCCTATCCGTAACAGTAATTTAGCATATCCAAGTTCTTTTATATTTTGAAATTCACCCCCTCCCCTCCAAACGGAAGTACGACAGAATTTTGCATGACTCGGAGAAACAGGCTGATAATGTTTCTAATTGTATCATCACATCTCGATGACCATGGTTTAGATTCTATGTGAAAAGTAAATATTTTGTCTTTATTGGCCTTAGTAATTGTTAGAGAACATTGGCTCATAATAATCTTTTATTTTTATTTTTTTGCGGCCCCACAAAGTCATTGTCTGGATCTGCCGCTACCTGTGGCTAACTTCACACAGGTTTTATACTATTGCAGAGATCATTTTAAGATCGATGATGCTTCTGCTAACTCTGAGCAGCCATAATCCATAAACGTGGATTATTCGATTTGTCACTTGCCTTTAATTCGTGTGAAGGACCCTACCAAATTTACTCCAAAGGGATCGTTTCAGATTATGATGTGTAAACGTTATCTCGATCTGCGCTGGAAAAGCTGATGTTCCATAGCATTGTCACAAAATTTGAATACCGTTTTGTTCTTGTTTGTTAGGTTGTAACGTTAATTTCCTTTCAAGGAATTTTTTCACCGAACTAATCGTTTTCCATAGTTATTTAACCCCGAATATATACACATAAGTGATTATAGCAGAACAGGTTCTGAATACATGTTTACAGCTTACCAATAAGAAGATACTTGTGCGGTTATCCACCCAGAAGGCTGAACTAACGAATGAGGGACCTACATTTCTGTTAATAATATGGATAAGATTGGCGGAACGGATTAGCCATAATTCACTGAAACAATAAACCCTGGGGTATGGGAACAGTGGCGGGGAAAGAGAGAGAGAGAGAGAGAGAGAGAGAGAGAGAGAGAGAGAGTGGTATGGAAGAGGAGCAACCAATTATAATTTAAATTAACAGGGTCTCTCAGTAACGATCCTACAGCTCCCTTCAGAAACAATTATGTACGGTTTATATTTAAAAGTTGTTTAAAAGTTCAATTAGAATGTGCGTATTATTAATTAAATTATATATTTTAAGTTATGGAACTGAGTTCGATATTACTAGATTAAAAGGAAAAAAATATCGTATAGAAGACAAGAAAAATGGTGAAGTTTTGGCGATCTTAACAAGCAGTCAAATATATCCTAAATTATGACCTCAATTACTCAATTAGTGTTTGGTTGTATTACATGATTACATACTAGTACATAATAGTTCTCTAGTACTGATTGGCATATTTTCATAAATTATCGTTTTATTTTATATTTTGTTTTTAGTCTTGAAAAGTATATAATACGTATTAGTATATAAAATTTCCAATGAAATATGAAACACGTTATTTAATATGTTTTCAATTACATTATAGTCTTTGAAATAATTGTGTTAAGTAACAGAACACTGACTCCAAAAGAGACAATATAAACTCATATCACTGACAGAACAATATTAAACACTGCCGCATCAGTTGATTGAGTTTTAGTTTCTACTACCGCCAACAGATTCCGCCATTTGTATGGAATTTGAAGCTAGGTAGTGGAATGTGTTATACGTTATCAGCTAATTATTTGTTTGCTAGAGAAATGATATAAAGCTTTAATGTTATGTTACTTGTATCTAAAACATTTTTGCATAATATATATATATATATATATATATATATATATATATTATATATATATATATATATATATATATATACATATATATTTAAAGAGTTTCAGATGTACGTTTACGATTTGTTTATCAGCTTCTTCAATGTTATAGTTGCAACATTTAATAGTTTTATTTTCAAAATGTTTAATTTGAAAATAAAATTATTTGTTGTATATACATGAACATCATATATTCACGTACATACCACCCATAAATTCACATATACACAATGTTGTCTCATAAAGAAAGAGAAATATATGAAAGGGTAATAGCAGACTAAGAGCTGAAAAAACTTACACACAAACAAAAAAAAAAAACAACTTAAGAGCTGAAAAAAAATTGTAATTTAAAAAATTGTTTTTCCGCTATATTTCGGCTTTCCCAGCGGCCCCTGTTTGACTGAATAAGCTGAAATTCGGTAAATAGAGTTTGTCCCAATAGATATAGATGTAAATAGAGTCCCAGGCGGAACAATAATATTAAATTTTGGAAAAATTTCGTCAACACTTCGGAATGTAACAATGTGTTTTCACGTTTTCACCTGTTTTTAAAACATTGCGCATCTCCACAGCTCCTCCTTACAAAGTTGGAAGGTTAACATTTTGTATATATATTAAGTTGGTGTTGGAGAGGTGCCTTTGGGATCTCATCACCAGTCGCCATTTTGTTTCAAACTGTGTTTTCGGATATCCAATGTTAACATAGTAATTATTTTTTCCGGCTTCTTTTGGGTGAAGTTTATTATTGACGTAAATTTTAAGTTTTTCGAGGAGAAGACTTAGGCCATCTTTCCTTAAAAATCAGTTCATTGGTTTAGGGGCTGCATCGGTTTTTTTGAGTTTATATCTCCAACCTACCCGTAGATCCTAATTCTGGTATGACAATTTTTATTATTATATATAAGTAGCTTATTAAAAAGATATATTATTAATTAACTATTTTAAACGTCCTAATCTTTGTGTATAAATGTTTTTCAATTTGGTAGGTAAAGTCGTTGGCTATACATATTGTACTTATAACTATTGGGATAAACCATATAATAAACCATTGAGTAATAATTTTCAAGGCTTTTATATATCTATTTAACTCAATAAAACAATTTAACTCCATTCTATTTTTTAAAAATAAAAAATAAATATAAAATAGAACCTTAGCGATGGAACTCTGCTGCTCACGCCTTTTTTTTCCCATGACCTGGGGTGTACCGTTGTAAATTATTCACAAAAATACACTTTTTACTATTAAAAATACTATTGCAAACATTTATGATTCAAGTCGTTATGAACACGTGATCCATAATCCTTGAATTTTCAAAGCCTTCAATATAGCTTCCAATTAATATATTCATTACCAACCGGACTTCAATATGAATTTAAAATAATAGATCAATAATATAAATTGTCATTTAAAAAAATATATATAGTTAAACGACTTAAGGGAATACTTCTAATTCCTTAATATCTGCATTTTTAACTTTGTCGCGACACATGTGAATGAATGACGCATGTTCAAAACATACACGCGGTGTTTTTTGAAACTACTTGGACTCAAAACACTGACAAATCATTTACAGGCTAAGTATACCCTACTACTACAATAAGGTTAGATTATTCATAGACATAAATTTCCCTATCAGTCTACTAGGATGTTTAGGATGTATGTGAAGTAGGATGTTGCTAGAATATGGAAGTGCATTCTCTTAGGGTGGGTAGGATTTCCCGATTTTTGTAGTCGGTTTTTTTTCTTCAATTTTAATTTTCCTACCTATACTAGGTAAGGAAAGTATTGCAATCGGGTCAAATTTCCGATATGCAGCTTTCGACGGATCTATACGTTTCAGAGCTCCCTGGGTCCGAAAACACATTTTTAGCCATTGGTCTGTCTGTGCCAAGATTTTCTCTGAGACTGGTGAACCGATTTTGTTGCTTTTTTATTTTGTAGGGCATTGACTACTGATGCACGTGACACCAACTGAGTGTTCCATGCGCAATAGCTGCTGCGCAATAAATGAAAATCATGTTTTTCTACAAACTGTAGCGCGAAAACGGTTCAAACGATTTTGTTGAAACTTTTCTATAATGTTTTTATAATTTTCGTACATGAACTATATTCCCCGAAAAAATTCAGGAGAAAAAGTTATAAAGAAAAGAAAACTGTTTTGGGGCCTAACTCGCTAAGTATATATTCTATAGTAAAATTTATAATAAAACTTTTGAAAGGTAATTAAATTATCACCAATACTATATAAAAATCGTTCATTTCGGACAACCATTAACGAAGTTACAGCTATTCAATTCTCACTGTAAGATTAAGGTTAGATATCCTGGTGTCAGAATGGAATGAATGAGTGAAAAAAATATAACTTAGCGAAAGTAAGAAAATCTGTTGCCCGCATCACACAAGCTTCACTACTACCTCTACTTTTAACAGAAATTATTGTTTGACGAAATTAGGCTATGGCAAAAATTTTTCGATCAGCAATATTGGAGGGTATTGAAATGTTTTCACAGATCTACCCTTAGCCGGTTTACATTGCTTTAATTTATCAAATAAATCATACTCAAATCTTTTCTTTGATCGATTTTCAGGAAAATAAATCTAATTCAATTTTTTTTTGTATATTGATGGACTATGTAAAGATATAAAAACTTTTCTGAAATAGATAGGAAAGTCGTGTGTGGACACACCAGATTTTTTTAATTTAGTGTGAATTTACTACGTTAGTGATTCACCAACGCTCACTCATCTTTTACATAAGCTATGAAAGAAAACCAAGTAGACTTATTGCTAAATGGCGTATTACAATCACTAATTATACAATAAAAAGGTTTGCAATTATTTGTAAACTACTAAGCATGCCTTGTATCCACTCTGGGAAGCACGGGGGCAGAGAAGAAGTGCTTATATTGCCATTAGCCGTAACAGATGGGGATAGCAACCGTATCCCCTTTCAGTACTGATTCGGTTTTAATTGTCTTATATTAAAACAGCATGAGCCCCTCTTACCGTGTCGATCCATATGTAACAGCAAGCCTTGTTAAATTAATTCAAACAGTTGGGGTATTCCCAATATCGTTAACAAAACCAAGAGAAATCTGAAGAAAACGTGATATTAAATTCTATTAATTGTAAAGGCAGACCGTTTACATAGTAGCAAGTGAAGATATTGAAAAAAAATATAAGGGTTCGTCGGACATATTGGAACGAATTGAGTTTAAGGAGATAAATACAAGAATCGACATTTTGAGTAAACTAACATTCAAATCCTAAGTAGTTTGGTTTGTAATTTTGATATATACTATACACACATTACACAAGCAGAGCAACATCTTGTAAACGGACGCTTCAAGAATAAATAAAGATGCGTTGTTCATAATTCTCACATTCGAAAGCTATTTAAACTCCCAGAGGTTTGCTCTGTTTTTATTGGTAAATTGGTAGGGATAACTGAAACTACCAATTATGCCGCCGTGACGGACTCGAACCAGGCCAAAAAACTACACTAGCCAAAGAAATAAGGAACATTTGGTGGCAACAAAGAAATAATGTTCAACTAGGTTCCTTCGCATCACGGGATCACCGGAAACAAATTGATCAAGTAGCCAATATGGTAAGAAGTCAGAAACAACTCAGGTGGTATCAATTAAGAAGACTACTTAAAAAAATAAATAAAGAAGAATATATGAAAATATAAAAAATAATTGGTAGCAAAAATAGTCTAAATTAAAGGTAATAAAAAACTACTGTTCGATATATATAGGCTTCGATCCTCTAGGAAAGAAGAAACAGCCCTCTGCAGATTAAAGATCGGGCATTGTGAGTTCTCACATGGCTACTTACTAAGAGGACTTGATTGCTAGAGTTGAAGAGTCCAAATAGTCCAGTAAAGTTATTGTTCATTACCCTTCCCATAATAAATGGTAAAAAGTTCCACAGAATCCGGCGTCGGTTTTTGATGGGAGGGAGGTGGAGAAGAGAAGAAAACTGATATTTTTTTAAGAATAACTCAAAAACCGTGAGGTATTTTTACAAAGATTGTTTTGTATAATATTAAAGTGCTGTTCATTTTTTTTTTTATATAATCATTGATAACGGAGATATTTATGAGATTATATTTATTGCATTGCCACTTTAAGCAAAAAATGCACCAAACCACGAAATTTATTTTCAAAGTAGACGATACCGTTATGGAGTTTAATTAGTTCTTTTAACATTTTCGATCGTTTAAATTATTATTCAAACTTTTTTTCTCTTAATGGATTATTAATAGTCACTGACAACAGAATTATATTCAATATCAATCAATGGGGAATTTCGTGATACCGGAATGAAGTTTAGATAGAAATTAATTTCATAATTGATAATATGATAACAGACATTAAAACTTATAAAAAGTTGCCATAAACCATGGTCTAGTTGCATACAGAGATCTAAGAAACTTAAATTTTGTAATTTTTAAGCCAACCATGTTTTATGTTGAATAAAACCCAATAACTAAAAAGTTGTTCAATTTAGGATACAAGCAATTAATTCATAGTAAACTAGATTAAATTCAAGTAAATATTGTATTTTTATAACCATTTGAAGGGTACTTTTAAGCAGTTTTGCCGTTAGTTTGGTTTTTTATAAAATCAAAGATTTATTTTGCAACCCCCTAACTGGACTGAAGATATCTCATTTTCTGAAGAACTTTCTTGTTTTATGAACTTTAAGTCTATATTAATCAAGTTGTGGTTTGTAACAGAGTAAGTTCAGATACCTCCCTAATAGAATAAAAAGATGTAAAAATATTGGGGTCTGTTCCTAATTTTGCCGGACTAATAATATTTTTACTTAATTAGGGAAAATGTCAACTCAACTTAATGTTAATTAAGACTTAAAGCGCATCGAAAAAGGAAGCTTTTCCGAAAGTGTTGTATATTCTGTCCAGTTGGGGCTTTACAAAAAAAAAAAAAAAAAAAAAAAACGTAGAATAATTGATTTTATGAAAACTCGAACTTACCGTAGTTTATCTTAGTTTAAAAATCTCCTTTAAATGGTTTTTAAAAAGACAATATTTACTTGCATTTAATTTAGTTTGCTATGAAGTAATTGGTTGTAACCTAAATTAACCTTTTTTTTATTTATTATTTTTATTATTTTCAACAAGAATTAGAATCAGAAGTTTTTTATAGAAGAAAAATAATACAATCTGCCACAATCTAGGACATTGAGCTAATGTAAATATATAACCATAATATATATTTACATTCATAAATTTTATATACAATTTGAAATATAAATTGAGAAACAAATGAAATAAGAAGAAATATATACATTAAAATAAAAGAAGAAAAAAATTGTAAAAAGGAAAATAAAACACATTCAAAGAATAGTAAAGAAAGAAAAAAAAAATACTTGACACACATTTATTCCTATGTACAATATTTACATTCAATCTAAAGAACTCTGAACCATGCGTTGCTGCTCTGACGTAAAAGGCAAGATCTTTCCCAGCCGCATCACTGTTTAAAATCCAGTGGAGACTGAATTCAACACGAAACATTAAAATTAGAGAATTTAAATTTTCTGGTTTGCTGTATGTAATCAGACCATGGTTTATAGTTACTTTTTATAAGCGTTTATGTCTTCTGTCACATATTATCAATTATATGAAATTAATGTCAATCTAATATTCAAATCATTATCACGAAATGTGTGTGCCCTGTCACTGATAAATTGAACGAGGAGGTGGTGAAAAAGATATTGATGTATACATTGTTCAAATGATATATACATTTTGCTCTATATTTCTGGAGTAAATAAGTAGCAGACCTAAAGGAGGAGTGGGAAGATATGACAAAATATTTATATAAGAGGGGAAGCTCGAAGGGACTTCCGGAAAATCCTCAGTTGAGGTTTATGGATGCACCTAATATAAGGAAGAAAATAATCTGGAAGGATACGATTGAGGCATGGAACCGCCGGTGGGGAACTACCCCTAAAGGTAGTACATTAAGGAAATACTTTCCAATTGTACAGTTGAGACTAAAGAAAAAATGGTTCCTTCTGGACTACTGAATGTCTGGACGAGAAACGTTTTACAGGCTAGGCATCAATTAATAATTTGTATGTCCAACCAGTTGGGTTCCGGAAACATTGATGAAAGCCACGGTGATCTACGATCATACTGAAAATGAGTTTCCTCAATTGGTAAGTGAGGACAATTTCGTGCGGTTTAATCAATTCATTTATGGGTGGAGAGCATCGGTGGGACCGACCCGCTTGAACGTCGAAGCCCGAAAAAGAAGAAGAAGGAATTTTCGGAAAATAGGAATTTTCGGGTTCC